CCCCCCCCAAAAAAAAGTTAATGCATTGTTTAATTTGGTTAGCTTAACTGCTAGTCCCATTTAAGTCAACGACTATTAAATTAATCTTTTATGAACAGCCTTTTACATTAAAATATCGACGAAATTTTTAAGAACAGAAATGTGAAGATAAATGGTATGTTGGTCCCAGAAAGCCATTTATTAGACAGCTGGGACATTATCTGGTTCTAATAAATGGCTCAACCGTATAGTTTGAAATTAAACTATACCCCCTCTTCAAGTACCGATATATATGTATCACCTAGCTAGCTAACATTAAATGCAAGCTCGCTATACCAGCACAATTTCTGATAGCAACAATTATGTTTTGACAAATATATATATTTTTGAGCTTCCTTTAAAAACTGAAATTTTGAAATGAATTGGTCATATAATTCAACATAGTACTAGAGCTGGCAGGGATCTTAGTTTCAAATCTTACCGAGGCTAACTAGCTATAACAACAAAAAAATACATGTGAAAATGGATCAAGTGAGCATGCATGCGAGCAGGCGTGTTGAAGATATACTAACCAAATAAATATATGATTTGCCTAACTACTTAAATTTTTAAATGAAATAGTCACACAATTAACCAATAAAAAAAAATTCGTGCTTAAAACTGTATTTTAAATTGTACGTAAAGAAAAACTTACCTGAATGCCCGATCATTGGAAGCTTTGTGTGTCCTGACGATGTGCTCGAGGCTGTACTTAGCACGGCGGTAGTCACGGCGGCGATTAGAGAGGAGAAGGGCGGAGCAACCCATCCGAAAAAAGCAATTAGGTATAAGCATAGACCTTTCTTTACCTGGATACCAATTAAATCCAACCATTTCAGCACTAACCACCACTGCATAACTATTCGGGTTAGCTTGTAACATGTCACGTGCCAAATCCAATGCTATAATCCCAGCACTGCAACCCATTCCTCCTAAATTAAAACTAAGTATATTTCCTCTCATTTTGTAGTGATTTATTATCATTGCTGAAAGTGAAGGTGTTGGGTTGAAAATGCTACAGTTCACCACTAATATTCCAACGTCCTTTGGTCGAATCTTCGTCTTTTCGAACAGTTCGTTGAGTGCGCCGAACATAACCATTGATGCCTCGGCTCGGCCTTCTTTCATGGTGGCGGTGTTTTCCGACGATCCAATGACTTTTGGGACGTAAGTTTCGTCGCCAATTCCAGAGGATTCTAAGATTCTTTTCTGAAATTCGAGACTTGGTTCGTCGAATTTGCCGGATTTTCTTGCTAGCTCAATGAACTGTTCCTTTGTTACCTGCCCATATTGGCATGCCATGCAATAAGAATAAGGTTAATTAAGTTATACACACTACAGTGCGTACGAAGTTTTACATTATCAGTGAAATTTAATTTGTCATAACATATTTCTTACTTTATTTTAGAGGTATCGAATCATGTTTGGAAATAACTTAATTTGATGGTGCAGAAATAACATATAGAGCATAAAACTTAAACGCTCGAGCATATAAGTTTAGTTTCAAATTTCTATAGAACAAAATACAGGGATCTAATTTTAAAATTGGCAATCTCCGAATTCGTCTCTTTTTCTACCTCAATTTAGTGCAATTTGTTCCATATAGTTTTCATTCTAGAAATTAAAATAAATAATAAATGATAAAAAATAAAAGATAATCTGCTGGCACGAGCTCCTATTCAAAGTAGATTTTTTCTCCTGCTGCTTTTTTTTTTTTCGATATAGAGGAGGGAAAAAAGAGAGTCAGCTAGCTTCCTACGTTTTACGAACACGAAAATAGAGCTTAAAAATTTGGAGAAAATATTGTAATAAGATAATTACAATTTTACCTTTCATATATTACTAGTTTTCAAAAATCTAGCTTCTTTTATAAAAAGTCAACTAGTCGTATATGTTTTTATTTCATGATTCACATAGAAATTGTTAACTAATGATCTAACTACAAAAAGTGATGGATTATTTTGAACAAGAAGGCCACATGCATTAATAATGAGTAACAAAAATTACCTTAAGATCATCACTTGGTTTGTAACATGCAAAATCAAGAAGGTAAATAGGTCTTGGCTTAGACATGATGTAAAGAGAGAGAGTGAACACAAAAAGTGCTACAAATGACAAGACTGTAGCCAAGTCATAACAAGCTGCGTTATCCCAAACTTTCCTCCACAGCTCCTCTCTACTAAGGCTGCCCACTTCAGCACTGAAAACCAACACCAACACTGGCACTGTAGCCAAATATATTCCATGGTTTATCAAGTAATGATACCCTAATTTCACATATTTTAGGTTTACTGACTGCAAGAAATCCGGCAAACGCCTCCGTACCCTAACGGAGAACGTTTGAGATCCCCCATCTGATATCCCACGGTTCACAATCTCCGTTGATAGAAGATGTTCTTCTCTAGCCATATTTTGAGACTGAGACGTAATTATTGTCGTTGATTTTTTTCTTCCGATGAAACTGTGTACGTAGAAATATAGGGATAATGTCTCTTTTACATACAAGATAATGAAAGGAGGTGAAAGTCTTGGGAGTATTTATTTATTTTGGAATGTAAGGATGGGAAAGGAATTAGGTGAAGAGAGCATTAATGTGGGCACCCAACTGAGAGAGGTGTAGTTGGGTGCTATCAACTAGCCATAAATTCTTGTAACGCATTTATGACAAAGTAGTTCGAAATTATGCAAATGACTTCACTGCTTTGTGCATGCAAACTTGCTATGTTATTACATCTTTGATGGTATTTCCATTTAGGAAAAAGAAGTAAATACATATCGTGAAACCTTCCCACCATCTTTTCCTTTTACAGTAAGTCCGTTAGGTGTTTCCAGCTCATGAACCCCAAGGACAAATAATTAATTGCCCTTCTTATTTGATTTATTTACGTTTCTCTAATAAGGGTATTCAAGGAAAACCAAAAAAAGAAATTGAAAGATTTACTAGATTGTGTAATATTCTTAATCTTTCTAAAATAATTGAACATAGGTGAACATGGTGTTGCATACATGCCAGCTAGTTTATTATACAATATGGTAAAATGGGCTTATTATTGCTCTGTAGTACTTTATTGCTAATTGAAGCAAAAGAAAAGAAAGAGGTCCCGCCTAATACAGGTGAATCTCAGTTAGAAGTGCTCGAATATAGGAGAAATAAGGTGATGAGGAAGCTAAAAATTGAACTTTAGACCATAAGCATCTTCTCGATTACATTTCAAAATCTAGCCATTGGTCAACGATTTTAGAAAGACAATGTAAATGGGAATTTCTTTTATGAATATTTTTCCTAAATAAGTAATCAGCCAGTGTATTAAACAATTGTTGTTATACTTTTAAAGTATTGGACACTTTGCTGGGTACCCTATATCAAAGAGTGTACCATTTTAAAAATACATAAATACTAGTATTACATAATCACTACAAAAAATATGTTAAATTGTGACGGTTTATTTGTGACGGTTATAAAAACTCACTATTAATTCATTTTCTGATGTTTTTCTCAACCCACACAAAATAATTTATTTTGTGGCGGTTTTATTGTGAAGGTTTGCAAAACTGCCACAATTTGTACAATTTGTACAATTTGTGGCGGCTATTAACTCCCACAATTTTATTACATTCATCTTATACTTATATATAATAAAAATATTTGTACTTATTAATTTATAGCGTGAGTTACATCTTTTCAACAGATATCAGGTTTGAAATGTCCTGCAAATACTTTTTCATTTTATAAACCCTCAGCATAAGTGGAAATTTTGATTCACAAAGACATATTTACATTTAGCAATTGTAGATATCTAATTTTTGCCCCCACGATCATCATAGTCATGTATTGATGGCATAAATTGAATACTCCTAAATCATAAGAATAATATTTTATTTTCATTTGGTTTTAGATAATTTCACTTTTGAAAGGAAATAGAAAATTGCAAAAATTTGCACATGAGTTTTCTTTTAGTTTCATAATTTTAGGAGTTTCACATTTGCATAAATAATTTTAGGAATTTGCAACTCTATTATATATTTTATCTAATATAAGAATTTTAAAATTTTTAAATATTAGATGAATAGTTTTAATTAGTTTTTCTGTGAATTTGTTCTGTATTTCAACTTATTGTTTTTCTGAATGCTTTGTTTGGTCCTTGATCTCTTTATTTATTAACTGTATAGTGTACAATAAAATTATACTAGTATTAGTAACCATGAGATGCGCAGACACAAATCATGTCAAATTTGATTGAATTATCTGAATTATGTGTAAATAACCTTGAAATATAAATCTTCAGATAAAATATATATATAATTGTTAGATATTTATTAAGAAGTGAGGCATTAAACTATTTTCCAAATCTCGTAAAAGATAACTTTTACATTTTCCTCCTTGTACATTATCTTCCCTACTATGAAAATTTAATAATTTTTTACATTAATATTTTAAATACAATTGAAATAATATCATATTTTATTTTAAATTATATCCTTGAGTTAGTCTAAATTATTATTACATAAGTTTTTTGATTATTATGTTTCAAATCTGTTGAGTTTTCTCAAAATTATCTTTTGTATTACATTCAATTAAATTTTCTTTCGTTTTTAGTTTCATTATTAAATTTGACTTTAATTTTTATAAGTAAAATTTCTTGCATTAGACATTTATTTTATATTTTTTATTAATTTTTTCGTCTAGTAACACTTTAATTTCGTCGTCCTATCATATCTTTGAGTGTTCTCATCTATAATTTAAGAACTATTTAATGTTAAGCTTAAATAGTCTTTCCCTTCCATTTCTAATATTGAATTTTTAATTAATTTTATTAATTTTACGTTATCTAATATATAGTATTATCACATTTTCATACTGGTTTTATTAACTTGCCACTTATTTAATATCATTATGCACTACTATAATATAGACAAATATATATATTTTTTAAATTTATATAAAAAAATTATTTTATTTAAAATTATAGATCAAAATTATCAGATTATTTAAATTTATCAATAGTATTTATATTGGTCAAAATTCTTAGATTATTTAAATTTTTCAATAGTATATATAAATAGTGTACATTTTTTACTGAATTTTATTTTCTAAATTAATTCTCTATATAAATATTCTCACATTATCTCTAATTTATTTTTATTTTATCTATTAGACTTGAGTTATGTAGTTGTATTTACAATATGGTCCTTTTAGCATAATAGGAAAAAAAATTCTCAACTAAATTTAAATAAGGTTTATCCTTCTTTTTTCTTTATGATGAATTTTTAAATTTTTTATTTTCTCTATTTATTTTTTATTTTTGCTATAATATTATTCCACCAGATGTTGACTTATGTGTAGAAGATCTCGGATGTGAATTCTGATAGTTAGGATAGTTTTATTAGGTGATTTTGGACTTAGGAGCATGTTCATAATATAATTTGGAGGTCCCTGGTAGAATTATGCTTGAATTGGAGAAATTAAAAATTTGGCGTTTTTCAGTTAGTAGTGAAAACCTTGATATCGGGGTCGGAATGGAATTTTAAAAATTGGAATAGGTCTGTTATGTCATTTGTGATGTGTGTGCAAAATTTCAGGTCATTCGGGTGAGGTTTGATAGGTTTCGGCATCATTTGCAGAATTCGAAGCATTTGGAGGCCGAGTCGAGAGGCAAGGGCATCACAGGTTAGAGTTTTGTCCGATTTGAGGTAAGTAATGATCGTAAATCTTGTCCTGAGGGTATGAAGCCCCGGAGTTCACATCGTTTCACTATTTTGAGGTGACGGCACGCTAGATGACGAGCGTGAGGGTGTGCACCGTTGGGGATTGTGACTTGGTCCGTCCTGTAGTGACTATTGAGTTGCGTATTTGACTGAAAACTATTTGATACTTATATGCTTTGGAAAGTATTACTATGTTTTGGGATGAATGCCATATTTGGGCCTCGTGCCAAGCTGTTGGACTATAAGGGGCTTTTTACTACTGTTTCCTCACGGTTTTAGTTTAAGATATGTACTTAGTCATGCTATATTTTACTGATTTTATAACTCAGTCGTATTTACTCCATTTTGATGCATAAAATGATATTTTGGGCTGAGCACCCTATTTTATTAATAGCCCGAGTGGCTTGAGAGGTTTCTGACTAAGTGAGGCCCTCGGCCTGTGTTGTGAGGATATCCTGGGATCGGGTTGCGCGCCGCAGCATGTTGTACTGATTTGTGATATATGAGAGTCCAAGGGCCTGATTTATTATGCCATGAGATGGCTTGTTATAGCGCTTGGGCTGTAGGAGCCCCTCCGGAGTCTGTACACCCCAGTGAGCGCGGGTACCCTAAGAGAGTGATATGATGTTGCCTGAGGGATTGTTCTTGATTCATGTTGTGCTTGAGGGGCTGATTACGAGTGATTGTGAGGTTGACCGAGGGGCTAATTTTGAGTGATGTTATGCCCGAGGAGCGGTTTATGATACATGTTTTGCCCGAGGGGCTATTTATAATTTTTATCACTTTTACTCTAAACTTCATTGAACCTCTGTTGAAATTATTGTAAAAATATCTTCAAACGATTTTTACTGAAAAATGGATTTTAAATGAGATGATTTGACTATATTCTGTTTTGAAGGCAGGTTGTACTTACTGTGATTTCATGATGTGGATTTATGTGTTTCTTACTGTTCAGTCTTTATTTACTTTTAGTACTTACTGAGTTGACCTACTCACATTACTCCCCGCACCTTGTGTGCAGATCCAGGAGTTGCTGGACGTGATAGCGAGCGCTGATCTTTCATCCGTCGCGGATATTCGGAGTCGGCAAGGTAGCTGCATGGCATTCACAGCCTTGCTCTTCTCCCTCTTATCTTCCTTAGACTATATTAGTGTTTTCCAGACTGTGATAGTCTTAGTTGTATTCAGACAGCTCTTAGTAGATGCTCGTGACTTGTGACACCCCGATGTCGGGCCTTTATTCTTTCCGCACTTGTTATTTAGACTTATGCTGTGAAGGTTTATTAATTAATAGCTTGAAACATCGTTATTATGAAATATCGATTTTGTTTTGGGATTGTGTAGGCTGGCCTAGTTTCATAATTGTTGCCATTACGACTGGGTTGGTTTTGGGGTCGTGACACTTTTAAACTTAAAATAACCGTCACCCAATTAAGATAATAATCATAAAAAAATATTTTCTTATTTGTTTGAGCACATTATATCTAATTGATGTAATGATATTTCCACTAGAGCTGCTTATCGGGCGGATCAGGCAGTTATTTGCGTTTAACGGTTCGGCTTATCAGTTATCAATTTTTAAATGTATTAATCCTCTAGCCATCCTATAAGATATCAGACAAATTAGTATCGATTTACCTATTATCGGGCGGTTATCAGGCGGTTTATCGGTCTATTTGTATATCTTCTATGTAAGTTTACCTATTTTCCTGGAGATGCATATGATATTCTTTGAGTTCTAGAAAAATAATTATGCAATTAGATGTTTAGTGACTTGACTGAAATTATTACTGATTTCATCCACTGAATTAATGAGATGCATTATTACCTTAATTAACAGTATAATACAATGGTGAATGATGACCACTAAGGCACTAATCGGGAAAAATAAAAAAGAAAAGGCATGTATTTTGGCTACCAATACAAACACTTGTTAATGGGAAATTGGAAATTGATACTTGATGCTTGACACTTGATAGTAGCTATATCGTTAGGATGGAAGTCATATATATATACTTAAACGGTTAACGGATTATCCGTTAAGAAAATTGAATAATCCACCCTCAAACCGATAAGTCATTAATAAAATAAATTTAATCCGTTCCCCGTCCGTTAAACCATTAACCCAATAACAATAAGCCATTAAGCTTCGATTTCGGTTCGGATTTCGATTTCGGTTCGATTTTGAACACCACTAATTTCCACTATCATTTTACTTTTTTATGTAATGTTTCTAACTATAAGAATCCTTATTTTAGAAAAGCTTTTAAAATCTATTTACTATAAATATTTGTGTCAATCTTGATTGATATTTTACCATTAATTGAATCTGACCAAAACTAATTTGTCTTAATACTTATTAGATTAGATTTGTCTAAATCTATTTAGATTATTCTTTAAAAGTACCAAGTGACATTTTCTCAATAAGCAACTTGGCTTAATGCCATGCTTCACTATCCTCTTTTTAATATAACATAGATATAGATTCAGATATTTAACTATGTTTAGGCATGAATATTATCACTTTAGTTTTACTTTCTCATGTTTCATTTTTTAAAGGTAAAAAAAGAATAAAATAGAGAAAAAGTAAGCTGCAAAAAGACAAATTTAGAATGCCAGCTTCAAATTTACTTTACAATTAGGTGATAATTAGGTAAAAGACTCAATTTACTCAGAGCCCAACTTCTTAATGCACGTTCTCTGAAGTTAATTTAGGGCTCAAATTCCCTCTCTTCCACTCACGAGTTCTTTCAGGAGATGGAGGAAGTTATATATTGACACCCTCTCTTCATCATCTTCTCTACAAAGGGAAAAATTAATGGTTCCTTCTCCGTCTAATCTGACAGCGTGGGATCATTAGCCAACCAGCTTATTGCACAAGGCAAAAGGTACAAAACAGATAATAACAAAGAAGATTCGTTTTACTATAGTTGTTAATTCGTTTTATTTGTTGTTTTCATTTGTTTTACTCGTATAGTGATCTTCTGTACCTTCCGACCTACTCATCTCCAACGTTGATCGAAAGGTTTTTCTCATATTTGTGTTCAATCTAGTTTACTTCTTTCTTGTAACGGGTTGTGTATTGCTAATTTTTTTTATCAATTTCTAATAAAATACTCTTTTTTTCATTGTTTCAGCAAAGTGTCATGGAGAGTGCGCCTACTTCGCTCGTGGATGTAGAGTATCCTTAGATGGATGCAGTACCAATCACCAAACAAATACTTAGAATTTTTATTATATTTATTTTTTGTGGAACCGCACTAAATTATGCAATGTTTGGATTATTGTATTACTACTTTAGTTTGATATGATTTTGGATTTTCAATGTTTGTTCATAAACGTCTCATTAGAATTTGATTAACGTCATGTAAGCATATAAATTATTTATTAAATTTTAGTATTTAAATTTTTGTATAGAAAAAAAATAATTTTCAACAATAGGAAGTATTTACTATCACTAATTTTTTTTAACAATTGAGATTATATTGCGGAGGTTATGAATCCCCACAAATTATTATTTTTAAAGCATTGTGAAGGTTATAAACTGCCACTACTTGCCTTTAGAAACCGTCACAGATTAGAAATTTATTTTGTGGCGGTTGTCATGGAGGTTTTAAAAAATCATCGCAAAATGGCTCGTGGCGAAGATAACTGTGGGATTTTTTAAAACCCCCATAATTCATTTTGTGGGGGTCAAAAATCGCCACAAATTGAAAAAAAGACCTCCACAAAATAAGTAATTTCTTGTAGTTTATTGAAAAAAGATTAAAGAATAAGGTGCAAGTTCTTAAAAAATATGAATGTTGATCCAATTTATCTAGCTTAATAATTGAAGAAATGCCCCACAAAAGTCACTTGAACAAAAATAATTTCTCTCACTAGAAAAATGAATCTCTCCGTACAATAAACGTTACTTCCCCCCAACGGTAACTAAATTTCCCTTTCTAGGAAGAGTGGTGCCATGCACCGTCTAATGGGCACGCCGACGGGCACCCAACCGGCGTGTCAAATAATTCCCACTGCCCCGACTATGATGGTGACCAACTCTGAGAAAGAAATTCATCAGAAGGTCGATTATGCATTTGCAGTAGCAGCTTCTGCAAAATCTAAAAGTAAACTAATGGGGGATCCGAATGTCAAGGCAAGGATCACTACCCATAACGGCATGCCCGCTATCATCTTTAAATCTACCGATTACTATGGTGTGATGACCGCGAAATATAAATTCATTGTCATCAGCAAGTTTCTAATAAATCGCCCAAATATTGAGAGGATTAAGTCTGTTTTCGCTAGGGCTGTATTTTGTCCCGGGCCCGGGCCTTAGTGGGCCTAACNTGACCGTCCTTAGCGAGTCATGTGCCATGTGTGGTGAGGTTTTTTTTTTTTTTTTTTTTTTTTTTTTTTTTTTTTTTTAAAATAGCCGTTGGGCCCGCCAGGCCCGCCAGGACCGGCCCAGGCCCGCCTGCCGGTCCCGGGCCAAACGGTCCCGGGCTCGTGGGCTCAACCATGGAGACCAGCCCGTGACGGGCTCAGAGGCCCACCAAGACCGGCCCACCCAGGACCGGCCCACCAGGCCCACCAGGCCCGTTAGGACCGCGGGCCCGGTCCGGTCCGGTTCAGGCCCGGCCCACCGAGCAGCATTAGTTTTCGCAGAGAAAATCTCTCTTAAAGGAGAGGTCAAAATTGGGCCCTATGATTTCCGCACTATCTTCATTGGTGTTACTAACGACGAAGACTGCAAGACTGTATGGTATAAACAATCTATTGAAATTGATGGAATGGTCATGTGGCTACAAAAATGGACTCCAGATTTTAGACGGGAGGAGGATTCCCCAATAGCACCAATTTGGGTACTTCTGCTGGGTCTTCCATTTCACTGCCATATGTGGTATTACATAAAGCAGATTTTGAGCCCAGTTGGTGTTCCTCTATCAATGGATTTAGCCACGGACTACAGAACTAGACTAGGGATGGCCAAGGTCAGAGTGGAGGTGAATCTAACAAAGCCGCGTCTTCAATCTGTGTGGTTTAGGCAGGAGGATGAATCCAACCCTCTAAAGGGATTCACTCAGAAATTGGAGTATGAGGGAGTTCCAAAATACTGTAAACATTGCAGGATTTTGGGCCATTCAGTAGTTCAATATAAAATTCTGGAGAAGGAAAGACAAAAGGAAAAGGAAGCCAAGGATAAGGGATTAGAAGAGAAGAACGACAATAATGAAAAAAACAAGGAGAGACTGGGAATCAAAAAGAATTGGAAGCTAGTAAAACCAATGGGATCCAGCTAAACAGGTGGATCAGCAGAATAAGGAAAGTGGAGAAGCTAGTACCTCTAACAAATGTATTAGTTTTGGGCAGAATACCAAGGAAGTTAATGACAAGAATCAATGGCAAGTTCCCAACATGAAGAGAAACAGGAAAAAAAGAAAGGAGGAGGAAAAAGCCAAGGATCAAGATGAAAAGAAGAAGAACTCTGATCATGAAAAAGAACAAGAAGATGAATCGATCAGCAAAGAGAGAATAATCAACAAGAAGTGTAAACAAGAGAAGAGGAATAAAAATGCCGCACAAAAAAAGTATAGTCCTTTTCAAAACTGCTGCTGTGCAAAGAAAGAGTAAGAAGAAGAATAACATGAACAACAAAAGTAAAATACAAATCCCTCCTAATACAGTGGTTGAATAATTGCTTAAAGAATTCACTGAATAGAATTATGATAAACAAGCAAAGAAAAATCAAGGCAAGGAGAATTTCTCTACAGAAACGCTGGATAAGGATAAATGGACAATTCCAGAAGATAACAACTTGATCAACAAAGTAAGGGAAGCTCATAAAAGACAGCCTAACAAGGTAATGACCACAACTACTTCACAAGAAATGGCGGAGAGCAACAATGGATGCAATATCATATGTGATTCTGGTGAAAATAAAGAAAGAAGTGCGAGTTCTGACCAAGGGCACCTGGAGAGTACACAAGATGAAATGTATGATAGAAGAAAACAATGTGAAGAGGATATATTTGAAACAAGGGAGAGGGGACATAGACTCCAAACTTTCAGACAAGTAGTATTGACACTGAGCTAAAAAATGCACCACCAATCCAATTGGTTGTGGACTTATGCTGTAACAATACTTCTAGTTGTGACAGGAAAAAAAATTTAGAGGAAGGAGCAAATCTACAGCAACTCGATGAAGTACATACAGAACCAAGAAAAGATATAGAAAGAGAAAATGCAGGGAACTCAGGGAATACTCAAAACGAAGAGGAGACTGAAAAAGGTAATTGCTCACCTAATGATAGAGGAAGAAGCAGACAGAGAGGAAAAGGAAAAAGAGTCAAAGAGAAAAACTCTCCTGTTCCACATAGGAAAGGAGCTAAAATAAGAACCTTAAACCTCTAGTTTTTCCATGATTAGTGCAATTTTCTGGAATATTAGAGAGGTAAGGTCCAAAAAAGCAATTCACAGATTAAAAAAATTGATTAACATCAACAAAAATGACTTTGTTGCTATCTTTGAACCTTTCATTGATAGTGGAAAGATTGAGGGCTACAAGAAATTCTTGGGCTTTCAACACTGCCTAGCAAATACCAATGGCCAAATATGGTATTTCTGGAATTGTCAGGCGGATATAGCTGCAAACGAGGATCAACAACTCACTTTACGTATTAAAGACAATGACATGAGTGATATCCATGTTACTGCTGTATATGTAAAGTGTACTGCCAGGGAGAAAAAAGATCTTTGGGCCAATATTGAAGACATTAGCAATAACATTACTGGCCCATGGTGCATTGGAGGAGATTTCAATATAATCATGGACTCAGAAGAGAAGCTGGGAGGCAGACCTCATTGATCTCATAAAAACATTGATTTCACTGCTACTATGGAATATTGTGGCCTTGTGGACTTAGGCTACGTTGGACCTAGGTTTACTTGGTGCAACAATCGAAGACCCAGCAAAAGAATTTGGAAAAGACTCGACAGAATTCTTGTGAATGATAAATGGATGCAAAACTTTCATAATAATTATTTTAGGCATTTAGTAAGGACTGGTTCGGATCATCTACCTCTCCTTACGAAATGTCACAGTGAGAAGCAGGAAGTGATTAAATATTTCAGGTTCCTTAATCTCTGGGTGCAACAACCAGATTTTTTAGAGGTTTTCCAGAACAATTGGAGCACACAGGTCACAGGTAATGCTATGTGGAGATTGAAATGCAAACTACAGGTCCTTAGTAAAAGGCTTGGCCAGTGGTCCAGTGAACGCTTAGGAGACATCTACGACCAGTTCAATAATTGGGAAGCAAAAGTGCAACAACTTGAAGAACTCGACCTTCACATGAACACTGAAGACAACAGGGAAGAACTAAATAAAGCTCATACGGAGTACGTTAAATGGCTTGGAGTACAGGAAAGCATTTTAAGGCAAAAGTCACAAATAAAATGGTTCCAGGAAGGAGACTACAATACTAGATATTTTCACAGTGTGCTTAGAGACAAAAGAAGAAGATTGTATCTCCATAGAATCAAAAATCACAGAAACAGGTGGGTCAAAGGTGACGACAAAATTGCAAAGGCTCCATAAATCATTTTGAAAGTCTGTTTAACATGGAGGATCCAGTAATGAATGATCAACTCCTAGAATGCATCCCTAATTGTATTTCGACAGAGGTGAATGAGTCCTTGATTGCTATTCTAACAATGAGTAAACTCAAAAATGTTGTTTTCAGTATGAATGACAATAGTTCAGCTGGTCCGGATGGCTTCAATGGAGTTTTTTTTCAAAGCTGCTGGGAGATCATTAAGGAAGACATCATAGCCTTTGTTCAGGAAGTTTTTAGGGGCAAAAACCTTACTAAGTTCTACTCTCATTCATGTTTGGTTCTTATACCAAAAGTGGAGTCTCCAGCTAACTTCTCTGAACTTAGGCTCATTAATCTGGCTAATTTCACAACTAAGATCATCTCAAAGGTGTTGGCAGCCAGACTTAATGGTCTCCTTCTAATGATTATCTCAAATAATCAGAGTGATTTTGTAAAAGATAGACTCATAATAGAGAACATCATGCTTGCTCAAGAAATCATTCAATGTATTGGCAAGGAAAACAGAGGGGGCAATAGTATCATGAAACTAGACATGACCAAGGCTTATGACAGATTATCTTGGTCTTTCTTAGCCTCAGTGCTGAGAAGATTTGGTTTTGCCAAACAATGAATTGATATTATATGAAGATTGATATCGGATGTGTGGTACTCTATAGTGATCAATGGTACCAGAAATGGCTTTTTTACCTCTTCACGAGGCCTTAAACAAGGAGACCTTTTATCTCTCTCCTTATTCATCATTGCGGCAGAAGTGTTAACTAGGTCTCCCAACAAGCTTCTTTCCAATCCTGACTTCAGCCTCTTTGACATAAACCAAAGGGGCCCCAAAATCAATCACCTTGCATACGGGGATGATATAGTAATCTTCAGTGAGGGGTAACAATAATTTTATAAGGCTGATCATGAAGTAGATTAGCAAATATGAGAAAGATTTTGGGCAAAAAATCAACAAAGAAAAAAGCTTCTTTCTAACTGATCCTAAAGCAAGAGCCCATATAATCAATAGAATGAGAGAAGCTACAGGTTTCATGAATTAAAATTTCCCTTTCAACTACCTTAGCTTCCCGTTATATTTGGGGAGAAAGAAACTTTCATACTTTGATCCTATGGTGGACAAAATTGCTAAGAGATTGAATGGGTGGCAAGACAAGCTTTTAAATTGTGGGGGACGTATGGTCCTAATAAAAAGTGTTCTCCAATCCCTTTCAATTTATACTCTATCTGCAATGAGCCCCCCAAAGGGCACTTTAAAATTGATTGAAAGGTATTTTGCTAACTTTTTCTGGGGTTCTGCAGGTGAAAAGAGAAAGTATCATTGGAGCTCTTGGAGGACTATGTTCCCCTAAGGATGAGGGAGGAATAAGTGTTAGGTCCATGGAAGACATCAGCAACACTCTCGCCATAAAAAGATGGTGGAGATTTAGAACTGTAGACTCCTTATGGGCATCATACCTTAGAGCTAAATATTGCATCAGGTCACACCCAGTAGCTAAGAAATGGATATCGAGAAATTCACATGCATGGAAACACATGACTCAAATAAGTAACAAAGTGGAAAAGGTGTATATACTAGAAAGTTAACAAAGGCATTTGCAGTTTTTGGTGGGATAATTGGTCGGGGAAAGGTACTTTAGCAGATCTATTTCCCTATGAAAGAAAGAGAAAGAACACCACTGTGAGGGAATTCATTACAGATGAGGGTTGGGATATGACGAAGTTGACTAATGCACTTGATGATCACACAACTCTGCAAATCAGAGACATTGCTCTAGGAGATACTAACAAGGATGACTATGCCATTTGGGATGCTGAACCTAGCGGCCATTACACTAATAAGAGTGCTTGGTAGAAGATTAGAAGCAGGAAGCAGAAGAATGAAGCACTAAATAAGATTTGGCTCAATTGCATACCTTTCAAAATCTCTTTCCTTTCTTGGAGATCGTACCTTGGTAAGCTTCTTTTTGATGAAATTATTACTAAATTTGGTAATCAAATTATTTCTAGATGCAGGTGTTGTCAGAGTCCAAAACAGGACACCATTCAACATGTCTTCATTGAGGGGGATGTAGCCAAATTTCTCTGGAATAGCTTCGGAGCTCTTTTGGGCATCAAATATGAAACCTGGCCAATTAGAAGAGTTCTCAAAAATTGGCGAGACGAGAAGCCTAAGAACAATATCCACAAGTTCATTCTTCGAGAAGCACCATTAGCCATCAATAGGGAAATATGGAAAAGTTGGATAACATGTAGATATGGCGAGCAAAAGAAGTTCCAACCGAGGAAAATAGAGCATCAAGTAATATGGATTATGCAAGCAGCTTTGAGTATGGCCTTCCCCAAATGTAGAGTTACATGCCCATGGCCTATGTTCTGTGAAAAAGGAGAGCATTGGAACCCGACTCTAAAAGTGCATCAAGTAACCTAGAAAATCTCCCACTGGAAGGAAAAAAATCAATACTGATGGAAGCTATATAAAAGAAACGGGAAAAGCTGGAATAGCAGGAATTATTAGAAACAAAGAAGGTGATATGATAATATCATTCTCCTTGCCAGTCCAAAACAACACCACAATAGCATTGAAGCAATGGCCGCTAAAGTAGGAGTTCAATGGTGTATACAACAGGGGTTAATGACTTCTATTTGGAGATTGACTCACAGATAGTAGCCAATATGCTCATTGCTAGAAATACCGACAACCTCCATTTAAAAAGCCTGATTGAAGACATGACTAGGCTCATGAACCATGTCGAAGTTACCATTGCACACTGCTTCAGGGAATCAAACCAAATGGCTGATACTTTGGCAAAAAATGCAGCAAAGAACGGGAGCAATGGCTATTACTATACTTTCCAACAACTCCCAACAAATGCTAAAGGACCTTTCCAGCTGAATAAATGGAAACTACCTAGTTTTAGAATTAGGTACGATAAAGCCATTTTTTTTGTGAGTTGATGTACATTCTTTTGTAAGATATGAGAGGTAGGATATATTTTCATTACCTTACCTTTCATATCTTTTTCTCAGGAGGTAAGATCCATGCCCCCCTCTATTGTACATAATCTTTTTTTTTGTGGGAATAGATATAGTAGGGGTCTCGCCAAACCCCCCCAACACTCCAGGTGATGAGAACCTGGGTGATTGGCTTTAATTTAAAAAAAATGGCCCACAAAAGTCTTTATACGCTTTATTGTGATTTCTGAGAATTTATGTTGGAATATCATATGAAAATTAGTATAATTATTGTGATATAATAATAAAAATAAGAATTACAAAATACTTTTACCATGATTCTTCAATGATTTATGAAATATATAAGTTGAAGAATTTGAATGATCTTTAGTCTTTTATAGAGTTGTGAATGAAGAGGTTGCCCTATAACTCCTAGAAAAACAAATTGATGAATGACAATATAAAATCTTAAAAATAACTAATGTTGAATTAATATTTTACAAAAATAACTTAATATATTAAAAAAGATATGGAGATATCATTTATTGGATGAATACAAAAATAAAGAAAAATAATAATATTACTTTTTTAAACACCTTTTATCTTATATTGTTTCATCTTTATTGCTTCAAGTTTGCTATTTTAGCAAATTGACTCTAAAAACTATATTGTGCTATAATTGATTTTGCTCTACTTTCGGATTTCTTCTACTGCCAATGCTCTTCTTGTAAAAAAGCAAGTTTATGCATCTTAAAAGGTTTATCAACTCGAAAAAAATTTACTTGCAGGACAATTTTGAAAAACTCTTTCAAATTATACATCGTTTGAAGTATAAAATTATAAATTTGATGCATTCTTGAAATACATGGAATTAATTTGTGGCACAAAATTCATGTTATGGAAAGATACAAACATTAATTACAAGCTCGGTCCGTTATTTATAACTATTCTCTGGGAGAAATTCATGTTACAAAAAAAATTACTCGTAGAAAAACTATCTAAGTGTTTCGTGTAGAAAGGTCAGCCAACGAAATTGTTACCTTTAAAAATGGATAACAATTGAATTTATACGTGATTTTAAGGATATGCGGATTGATTCAATACAAATGATTTACGACGTTAGACAAGCAAATAAAAAATAGAACAAACTGCCAAATCAGTGATGATAGTGAGTCCAGGCTCAGCTAAAAGCTTAACAAGAAGCCTATTTTTGGTTCCGAGCCAACGCTTATGAAGAACTTATGAACAAAAGCAAGAACTTTGAATAACTTGTAAAAATAGAGAAAACATATGTATATTGCCTTGGTATGTGTGTTACATAGTGTTTATTAAATAAATAACTCTCTCTTTATATAGTAGAGGGGTTTTACCCTAAATACAATCCTAAGAAAAGTAAAAATTCTTCCTTTTCGATAATCACTTATACATTGCTGGTACGTGCCGAGATTTACGTCGTGATATCTGGTCGGGTACGGATATCATGGCCCTTTGTTAATCGTGTGAGGTTGTTCGGTAACTCTCTCTGAGGTTTCGGACCGGGTCGGGGGCATGGTCTCGATGGTTCTGAAAACGTGTGTTGTGTTCGAGCCTTGAAACAGGAAACTCCCAACTTCAACTCCGATTCCATGCAGTTATGCCCTCACTTTGTTTGCCCCACCGGTAAACCGGGGTGCTCATTACCCACGGTTCTACCCGTATACAGATAGTCCCCTCATTTCTCAGAGAACAGGTTTGCCGAAATGATGAGAAATGATAGATGTTCTCCGGTTCCTTCTCCCGTATATTATAACAAAAATGACGAAGAAGCCAAAACATCCCGTCAGTTGCGTCATTCTGACTTCGTACACGTGTCAACTATCAGCTGGTTGCCTCCGAATGCGAAGCGACACAAACTTTCTCTATAAAAGCTTCTATAGGTTGTTCTTTTACCACTTTCTGACCTAGCTTCTACCTTCGAACTTTCTAGTTATCATCAAATTTCTCCAAACCTTCACATCTTCATCCTTGTTCTTCAAACTTTTATAGTGATCTC